CCACTCGTCCGACAGCTGCTAAAATTATTCCAATGATAGCTCATTATATTGTTTACAAGCGTACAAAAGCATTTTGGTTAGAATTTTCCAGAAAAAATTATTCTGATGGAATTCAAGTGGTTTCTTTAAATTTGGCTGGAAAACCACAAGTGGCTATCGTTAGAGCACTCCACCATTTAAATGTGAATAAATCTTTTTTGTCTCGTACCATCGCTCGTTACCGTGATACTAGTCCGACGTCAAGGAAGTGGACGGAAGAAAACAGCAACATCAGCAGAAATGGTTCGAAAAGTAAAGAAGCGAGTGGATCGAAACCCGCGTCGCAGTGGCCAAAAAATGGCTCGTGAGCTGTTCAGCTCGCAATATTCCATTCGGCAAATATTGAAATATGGGCTCGGGGAAAAGCCATTGAAATTCCAAAAAGTGCGAGAACTTACACCGCAACGGAAAGAAATTAGACTCGAAAGTGAACTGCCAAATTTGGTTTTCTCCGATGAGAAAACATTCGTTGTCCAGCAGTATACTTGCCAAATGATCGTGTACACTTGCCAAAGAGGTCAGCTGAAAATGTGCACCTTCGGTTGGCCAAGAGGAACTCAAGCGCCGGCCATGGTGATGGTGTGGGCTCCCATAACAGCCGATGGTCGCTCTCCACTTGTATTTATTGACCGTGGCATCAGAATAAATGCCGAATATTATGGAGGGTGTATTAAAGCCTTGGGCACGCAAACATTTTGCCCGCAGACCTTGGACATTCCAACAGGACTCAGCACCCGCCACCCAAAAATGGTTATGAAATGAGGTTCCTCGATTAAGGGCACAATGGCTACCAAAATCTCCGGATACAAATCCGTTGGACTATTGTATCTGGAGTATTTTGGAAAGCAAGGTTGGCACTAAAAAATACCAAAGTGTCGATCACCTCAAGCAAGCGCTTCGCCGGTAATGGGCCAAAATACTGCAGGGCAACATTCGGGCAGCGTGTGACGGTTTCATTGGCCGTTTGAAGGCCATAATTCGTGCTAAAGGTGACCAAATCTAAACTCATTCTAAAATTTGATGCTATTTTCGATTTTTTTAATGTAAAAATTATGGCGTTTGACTTTGTTGCAGTTTTTATTTTATCTCATATGTTGCCCCTTAAATAGTATGCAGCTATTTTGACATTCAATAGCTGTTCAATAACTTATTTCCACATTTTCACTTAATAAATTTTCAAAGTGTGTTTGTGACCAATCTAGTTCGCATTCAATATATAATTGTCAATAATGTACACACCGTAAAAATCAATGATTCTATCTTTGCTCTCACAATCACCATTAAAAACAAGACCCGCATTTGAAGTGTTGAAAATTTATTGATGATTATGAGAAAGGTCCGTACAAACTAAGTTTCGTTGGCAATTTGTGAAAATTATTGGTCATTACTTGCATGTAACTTAAAGAATATACCATACACATACGACAACAAACATTGCGAAAATGAAAGTTCATACGGCCAAAAAAATAGACACCATTAACGGCAAACAAAGTTTGAACTTCGAGTTATGCCCCAATTTGACTCTGGCATAAGAAAATTGCCAATATTTTGTTTATTTATTTCGCCATAAATTATGAAGGGATCTCTTGTCCTTCTTCGTTTTTGTAAATGTAGAAGCAATTGTTGGTAGTTTAAACAACCTTTGTAATGATAAATACATAAGACAATCACGAACAAACAATAAAAAAAGCAAAGAAAAATATTCTGTTGTAACAAATTACGACGGCAGCAGGGACAAACAAACAAAAATGTCATAAAAATATTTAGGATATTAAGCGTCAACATGAAATGATGGAAACAAATCGTTTCCTTAGTGGCTTCATGATAACACCACCCCGCCCACAAGGCATCCAGGCAGCCACACAAACAAACAAAACGGCCATAACAGAAACGGCTAAAAAGCCATTATCTGAAGTGTTCATGTAAATGTGATCAAAATATTTATCCATTCCCAAAAACAATAAAGAGACAAATGGTTATTCTTGCTCTTCTGCTGTCAACTTTTTTTCAACAAACGACCGCCCATCCGAAAAAGAGTCAATAAAAAAATTTGCTTGTTTTTCCCACCTCAACCTACCGAAAATGTGTAAAAATTGCAAAATTTTTAATATTTACAAATTATGATGGGTTGGTAATAAAACAAACAGCCTGGCGGTTTTGAATGCCATCTCTCTTTTTTTATAAAAAAAATCATGGTGTTTTTTTTAAGTTTTTTTTTTCGTTTGTTCCTGGTATATGTAAGAGCCAGTGATAATTTACGATAAATCTGATGTGTGTGGAACGAGGTTTTGCTGTTGACAGTAACCCGAAAATATATGTATTCATGTGATGGAGTTAAGTGGATTTTATTTTTGATGAAAATGAATGCGTGATGTGATTTAAGCAAACACATCGCAAATATTTATAAATATTATCACAGAACACAGTGGAAAAATAACAAAGAAATTATCTCATAGTTGCAACTAACGATTTTGAAAACATATAAAAATTACAAAATTAAATTAATATAAAAATGTCCACAAGTGTGGAAGAGGGGAGATCTTAGGTTACTTTATGATGTAAATGCCGATAGACGTGACAGGATTAGATAAAACACTGCAACAAAGTCATACGCCATAATTTTAACATTTTTTTTTAATTTTATCGAATGAAAGCCAAAAATGTCGGAAATAGCATCAAATGTTAGAATAAGTTTGGATTTGTTCGAATTGGTCACATTTGGCACGAATTATGGCCTTCAAACGGTCAATGAAACCGTCACACGCTGCCCGAATGTTGCTCTGCGGTATTTTGGCCCATTTCCGGCGAAGCGCTTGCTTGAGGTGATCGACACAATTTTTAGTGCCAACCTTGCTTTCCAAAATACTCCAGACACAATAGTCCAACGAATTGGTATCGGGAGATTTTGGTGGCCATTGTGCTCTGGAAATGAATCGAGGAACCTCATTATGTAACCATTCTTGGGTGGCGCGTGCTGAGTGCGATGGTGCTGAGTCCTGTTGGAATGTCCAAGGTTTGAGGCCAAAACGTTTGCGTGCCCTCCAGAATATTTTCGCGATATTTGGCATTTATTCTGATGCCACGGTCGATTAATATGAGCGGAGAGCGACCATCGACTGTTATGGCGGCCCACACCATCACATTGGCCACCGCTTGAAGGTACAAGTACGTAGAAAGCTTGAAGTCATGGCTAGGCATATTAGTGTCAAATTATAAAGGAAAACGACGGCAGGATTTTAGTGCGGCTCTGTAATCCCTTTATGAAATGTCACAAAATATGCCTAGCCATGACTTCAAGCTTCTTATGTACTTGCACTCTGAGTTCTGATGGCCAACCGAAGGTGCACATTTACGTGCCTCTTTGGCAAGTAAATACGATCATTTTGTTTTTTTTTTTTTTTTACAAATTGCTGGACAACGAATGTTTTTTCATCGGAGACAACCAAATTCGGCAGTTCTCCACTTTCGGTCAAGCGAAGCGGTGTAAGTTCTTGCAGTTTTTGGAATTTCAATGGCTTTAACCCGAGCTCATTTTTCAATATTTGCCGAATGGAATATTGCGATATGTTTCGATCACGTCGCGGATTTCGATCAAGTCGCTACTTTACTTTTCGACCCATTTCTGCTGATGGTGCTGTTTTCTTCCGGCTACTTCCTTGATGGCGAACTACGCTACCAGTATCACGGTAACAAGCGATGGTACGAGACATTAAAGATTTTTTTCACATTTAAATGTTGGAATGCTCTAATGATAGCCACTTGTGGTTTTCCAGCCAAATATAAAGAAATCACATTATCACGCTTGAATTCCATCACTAATTACTTTTTTTCTAGAAAATTGTCACCAACATGCTTCTGTGTTCAATGAGCTGTCACTGGAATAATTTTAACAGCTGTCGACGAGTGGCTTAGAAATTAATGATAGCTGTCTGAAGTTGGTTGCAGTTTTTTCATCTCACCCTGTATTTTTAGCTCTATTTTTATAGTCTGCTGGTTGTTCCCTGTAATTATTTTTGTGTTATCAATAACAATTCTCCAAAGTCGAAAATTAAATTTGCCGGAGCAACTTTAAAAAGTATCTGTCCACTGTTCCGCCACTGAAAAAGAAATCCCACGAATTGTTGTTTTCACATCTTAGCAAAAGCACCAATGATTGCTTTCCATCCGAGTATATAGCATATATGTATGCATGCGGTTATAGTGACTACTTATCACACAAAAGAGAAACACAATCAACAGCGCAAAAATGTATCCTTTTTGTTTATTGTCAGCAGTCATAAGAGAGTAATGGCATTTCCTTTTTGTGCAAGGGAAAAAATCAAAAAAGGCAAACAAAAACAAATGGAATGACAAATGTAGTGGGAGGCAATGGGTTTTTCGCACACACAGCGGTGAGTGTGCATAAAACAAATATACACAATAAAAATTTGCAAATATTTATTTTGATTTATTTTTTTAGCGATGCAAGCAACCCAACCCCTTGCTCGAGCGTCGGAAGGGGCATATGAGGATCCGAAGCCAGGCAACATCATCAACAACACATTGCTTGCCGGCATATGATTTACAAATATTTGAACATTCTATACGTGGTGATTTTGTTTCCTCATCTTTGGGCCTTATGGATCATCATCAGCGTAAATTCTACTATTTTGATATTCATGACGGGTATAGCCACATGGATGTTTTGTTGTTTCCTTTGGCTGTAGGTGTTGGGTGGAGCCATATGTAAATATAACATTGTATAAACCACCAAAGTTAAGAGACGAACGAAAAAACAACAAAATCCCCATAACACTTATTTATTTTTGTTTCTTCCACTTTTACATTTGTTTGTTTTTTAAATTCATCACAGCCCGAGCAAGAAAAACCAAAAACAACATCACAAAATGCGTAAAAATTGTACATTTCTATAAAAGCCCGTAACGGCACGGCAAATGATGGATTAAAGCAATGGTACTCACCAGCAAATACTGATGTAGAGTTGTGTTTCGGATCGTATGGACACACAGCCTGGCCATTTTTAGTTGCCTCCAGGGTATAATTGTAGTCGTTGATTATATAAGTGTGACACAGGGGACGAAATGAATTTGTACCGCATACAAATAAACGTCCTGGCGAAGTCACGACCATGATGCGTATATAATTTTGGCACGCCTCCTGCAAAAAGAGACAAAAAAAAAAAAGAAAAGAAAAAATTGAGAATAAAATCAACATCATCAGGAGGACATCATAGTTCAAAGTGTGTCAACAATTTTGTTTCCTCTATCACGGAACGGTGCAGCCCCGAACATTGCAGTGACATGGGCAGTGTCCTGTTGCCTTTTTAAAATTGAAAACGGAACTTGAAAATGGAATTGCAAATGAACAACAATTTATACACTAGCCATATGATTATAATGTCCGGCACTAATTGTCTAGGTATTTCATTTGGTTATTTTTTCATAAATGGTAATTTTAATTATTGCCACGTGTTTGCAAGTTGTCATAAATGCTACAGTTTGTAATACTATTTACCCGAGGTTTTTATGAATTCTTCAAATGATTTGTCAAAGACAAAGCAGTTTGAGCAAATAACACAAAACGTTGCCAATTATTGGTCGAGCCCAGGTTAAAGCTCGTAAATGCACTCACGTGTGCTCTCAATGAGCGTAATCTTATGAATGTTTAGACTCTATATATAAGTTTATAAATACTCTTAAATTTTATTTATTCTATACCTGTTGTATAACTTGGTATAACTACATTTTAGTTTGAGCAACGCCTGAAAGTATGCTTTAAAGTAATAAATATGAAAAAATAAATCAATTTACATATGACTTTAACATGATGCGAAAACTGGCCCTTAGCAATTTTTATTATACCCTCAGCCATATGGCTACAAAGGGGATATATCATTTGATACTGTGAAAACGTGCCTAGTCGAAATAACGGCTTTAAACTCTAGGTCTCTTTGGACCAAATCCGTTTCAGAACATTTGGAGTCGATCTAGTCCGTCCGTCTGTCCATTTGTATGGCTGGTGCGCACGAAAACTCTCGAAGGGAGTATCATCCGATTTGGTCCAAACTTGGTACATTGTAATATTTTTGTCAAACTTAGATCGAGTTCGGAGATGGGCAATATCGGTCAACTCCTAGTACCTCCCCCACAAAAGGTCAACATTTTTGAAAAATATATTTTTTGCACAGAAAGAAGGAGGATAATCCGATTTGGCTCCAACTTTGCAAATCCTAATATTTGCGTCAGTGATAGGTTTGATGCAAAAATTGACAATATCGGTCCACTCTTTCTGGTACCTCCCCCACAAAGGGTGAACATTTTAAATAATTACAACTCTCATAAAATGTGATATAAGAGTCCGATTGTCTTGAAATTTCAGACGTCCCAATATTCATATTAACCCAAGGTCTGGTGTTAAGATGGAATGTATCGGTCCAAGCCTTCTGGTACCTCTCCCACACATACGGTCTAAATTTTCTAAAAAGTATATATATTTTTTGAACACATAGAGAAACAAACCAGAATCCCAAGATGAATATGGAATTTAAGATTTCCCATACATTTTCTTATATATTTATAATAATGCTTATATCATATTTATTTAGTTCCGATATAAAATGCACATATTGACCCATTCTTTTAAAACCCACTCCATAGAGGGTCAAGAGTTTAAAAATTCATTACAGAAGTCAAAATATTTTTAAATAATCGAACATTGGCTGAGAGTGTGAATCTGTCGGCAAAACCGACCGATACTTTTTTACTTGTTTTTTTTTTTTCTAAAAATGGTACTTGACATTATCATAATGATATCTGTAGAACTCAAGGAGTTACAGCTTTTTGTAGGTTCCTTTTTCATGGTTCCTGTCAGAATTATTCAAAATTATATTGAACAAGTTGTTTTTATTTATTTAATATTTTTCTTTATTTGTAAAAAGAGTTAAATAGCGAGAGTTAAAAATTAAATGAAATGCCTTGGTTTTTTTATTCAAAAATATGATCAAAACTCACTAATATTTCAATACCATGGCAAAACTTGTTAATGTCTTGAATACGCGTCCGCAATATACACTTCTTCCAATTATTGATTATGAAAGTATTTTGTTTTTCAAAACAATATATACATACACAAAATTGACAGAAGTTGGACATACTTAAAAAAAACTGTAATCAGCTGGTAGATCTTCCTTAACTTTTTTACCATGATTATATTGAACTTATTAAGGACTTAAATCTTTCAAAACAGGCTTGATGTTGCACAGAAATTTGGCACATTCATCTGGTAACCTCTTTTTAAATAATTGTCATGTACCTGAATTACTTTGTGTGTAATAATAGGAAGATTATAATATATTATTATACTGGAATTCAATAACATAAAATCTGTTTTTTTAAAACTTAATTTTTGTGAAATGACACCTTTAAGGAAATGAGTGCAAACTAGCCAGAAACTGAGAAAAAATTGTGAGTAATATTAACATTAGGACGGGTATATTGTATATATTGTTGTAAAATGGAAATAAATTAAAATTATCTTTTCAACGTATCCAATGTTTTATTCGAAAAATATATAAACGTAATCACCTACTGGATCGCGGAATCATTATTATCTCTAATATTTTAAAAGCTTTCCTCATAAGTCCACTGTTAGCTTATAGTTATAAGCTTTTAAACAACTTACACATGAATATCATTGAACCTGCAACCAACACTTAATGCGTACACATAAGAGTATCCTTGAATTAGTTAAACATTGTATAACCTTATAACCTCCATTTCGTTCCATTGTTTAGTGGCTGGCTCTTTACTGAATAATAGATAATAGACCAGTAGACATGACAATTACGATAAAAAAAAAGAAAAAAATGAACCACATCCAAAAGAAACAATAGAGTCAACGGATTCAAACTTAAATCCACTTAAAATAAGCTTTACTAACAAAGCAAAACAACCTCCATCATCGAGTATGTATATAACAACAACAACAACAATAAAAAACGGACAAATGTTGTTCTAGAATGCATACCAGAGAAAAGAGAGGTAGGAGTACCTTCAATCTGCATGTGTAGATAAACAAGAGGATCAAAGGTAAAGAACGAATATTTCCGCCTGACGTTTTATTTTTTTTTGTAGAGAACTCAAAGGGAACATGAACGTTTATTGTTGTTATACCCTTACATATACATTTTGCATGAATGTATACCAACACATTCATATATACCTTTACAACTGGGACTTTGTTCTAAATATAATACCTATGTATAAATATGTAGGAGTTAAATTGTACAGCTGCCAAGGGATTTAATTTAAACTATTTGAGGCATTTTGAAATATTGTTTTATAAAATCGATATTGATTTCGATGGGCAGCAATGTATGGTAAGCATTCATTGGGTTCAAGCGGAGGTGATCGGGATTGAATTTGAGGTAATCGAAGTCGGTAGCAAAGTAGAACGTAGGCCTTTTTATACCCTCCACCTTGGAAAGGAGGGTATATTAACTTTGTCATTCCGTTTATAACATCCTTAACTATTCGTCGTAGAATCCCATAAAGTATATATTTCATAATCAGCATAAAATGTCCGTCTGTCTGTTGAATTCACGATACAGCCCACATTATTTGCGTTAGAGCGTGTTGATGATGAGGTGAGAAGGCTGATTGGTATTGAAAATGAGATATATCGGTCCACGTTTTGGTATAGTCCTCATATAACGGTACCTCCCGATATTCGGTATTTTGATTATTTTTGCCACATTTCTTCGCGGATTTGTCTAAAAATTTGTATCTGTGTGTCCTAATGGGTTCTAGCTGCGGTGGTGAACCATTGTATGTATAGGTCCACGTTTTGTTATATTTCCCATATAACGGTATATTTCCCTTCAGATATTCGGTATTTTGATGATTGTTGTCAAATTTTTTCGCGGATTTGTCTAAAAATTGGTATTTGTTGGCCATAATGGATTCTAGGTCCATAGTTCATGTATAGGTCCACGATTTGGTAAAGCCCCCATAAATAGTACCTCCATATATTCGGTATTTTGATGGTTTTTGTCACATTTTTTCACGGATTTGTCTAAAAATTGGTATTTGTTGGTCATAATGGGTTCTGGCTGCGGTGGCGAAATATTGTATGTATAAGTCCACGTTTTGGTATAGCTCCTATATAACGGCACCTCCAGATATTCGGTATTTTGATTATTTTTGCCACATTTCTTCGCGGATTTGTCTAAAAATTTGTATCTGTGTGTCCTAATGGGTTCTAGCACCGTTGGCGAAACATTGTATGTTTGGTTCACGTTTTTGTATTCTATATAGCGGTACCTCCCGATATTCGATATTTTGATGATTTTTGCCACATTTTCCTATGAATGTGTCTAAAAATTGGTATTTGTGGGTCATAATAGGTTGTAATGTTTCATTTACCCTAAGGTGGAGGGTATTAAAAGTTCGGCTGGGCCGATGTTAATGTTTTTTTTACTTATTGAGTTTTGCCATTATAGCAAAGTTGTTTGATATGTCCAAAGTTGAATTTTTATTTCATTTTTTTACATCGAAATAAAAGTCTACCTTTGACATATCTGTTAATATTATGACGATAAAAGAGGCATATAAGAGACATTAAGTACCAATAGAATGCTGACTTTTGTATTATCAACTCAAACTTGATTTTTACTTCATAGAAAATGTTGACTCAATTGCCCACTTTTAGGCATAGTTGCCATATAAAGATATGGCTCGTTTTCCATTGCTTTGAAGGCTATAACTGCAATGTTCTACCAATTTCCCTGCAATTTGCAGTTTTCAATTGAATTCGATCGAATATTGATTTTCGATACTGTTAGTTTATTTTACCTCGTGGTTTATTACTCAGCCAATTTTATTTACTTAGTCCAAATTTGAATTAGGTAAGTCTTTTTTTAGGAGTAATGGTGATGGAAAAAATGCTCATGATCTTAACTTCTTTTATGTTTTCAATGATGAAAAATGACATTTGCTTAAAAACAAATTGCATGAGACGAGGCAAGTTTAAAAGCAAACGATGAAAACTGCCTCAAATAAACTCTCCTAGTCCAGAGCAGATCTTTTAACTATGGAATGCCACAACAATAGCGTTGTACCAGTTGTACTAAAAACTGGCCTAAGACGTCTTGAATTCTT